AAACAAGAATCAGAGATGAAGCTGAAGTGCCAAAATTAGGCAAAACCACTGTTTGATTAGCAGCAACCTTTGTGCCAGGCCATTTCTGGGGGTTTTGGTGAGATAGACATCACAGAGTCAGTTGAATCAGGTTAATGGCTGTCATTCACATAAATTATCATCTTGGAATTCAAAGGCTTGTTTCATTTAAGAAAGGGGCATTTATCTAGCACAATATATTCAATTCTAGTATTTGCCTCTACCAGAGGGATTTCCTCAGGCCAAGAATGACAATGTAGTAAGTAATTGATGGTCTGAAGTTTCTGCTTGGAGCATCCAGGTGGCCTAAAATGATGTTTCTTTCAGTCTAGGCCTTCTCTTTCCATGGGCCTATGAAAATCAAACTTAGTATTTGCTGTCACAGTATAAATAGCCAACATTTTGACATGATAAGTTTTATCATGAGGTTCTAATCAATAAAGGTTCCTGTCCTTGGTTATGATTAAGCCCATGAAGCACAACTGATAAAAAAAAGCTAGCAGCACTTAGGAGAATACAGAGGCAAGAGGAGTCAAAACCTATAGTATCAAGCAGTTTCCTGTTATGGTGAATTCTTTGAGAAATTGGAATATATTAGTAGTAACCTGCTCACATCATGCACATGTACCTCACTAAGGCCTGTGATTCCATGGAAATCCTTGCATTGCCAGAGGAACATCTACCCCTCCTTTAAAGGTGAAGTTTTATTAACCCTTGGGGATCTGAGTATTTTGGATAAGTCAGCACTGTCATCCAAGTTTTTTCCATTCCTCATCATGAGGGCAACGCAAGATAACTCAGGCATGGACTCCAAGGGGTTAAGGATTGAACTGTTTTTGCTCACTCCTGAATTGCATTTATAACATTATTTACTTTGGCTAGAAGCTCCCTTTATCTTTGTGCCTCTCAAGTTTTGAGAAGAAATTGGGAAGAGCCCCACATGAAGAAGGATTGGGCAATTCTTTGAAGACATGACTAGTCCCATTCTCCTTACATTCAACTCCCCCCTGTCATGGGCAGTATCATACTTTAAGCATGCCATCTAGTGTTATTGCACCCAGGAAATAGTCTCCTATCTTTTGTAGGTCTGCTAAAATGTTTACTTGATTTTCCTTTTTCTTTTTTACTTGTATAGAGGATGAGAATAGTCTAATTAGAGAACTTTGTCTAATAAGCAAAAAAATTGGATAATTTATATCTTATGGACACTTATATGCATTTTGTGAAATAATTCAAGTCTGCTGGCCATCTGCACTCAGTACGTGATGCACTGCAACTAAAGATGAGATTAAGAGAAACTGGCAAAAGCAGAAGGGGGGATTAGGGTTAACAGGTGGGAATTATTTTTATAGCAGACACCTGGAAATATGTGGAGAAATGAGTGTGTTCCTATTGCCCTTTGGTAGATATTCACGTAATGAAGTCATAGGGTATACATGACATTTACAAGATAGTCAAATATCAAAAGTTTTTATTTATAAATGATAATAATTCATTTATGAATAATGTCCATCACACAACAGTACCCATGACTTAAGTTTGTCTTTCTTAAGCTTAATTGAGAAACCTGGCTGAAATATATAGTCCTTCTACTAGATTTGATGAGTTGTAAGCTATCCCTTCATCCAGGTATTCCACAGTGTTATTGTCCTTGTACGGTGGCAAGAACTTCCCTTCAGCAGAGCAACAAAATAATACCATGTACATTATCTTGCATGGAAGAGGAACAATATTTGCTGCATTTTCTGTTTGCCACCATACACATTTCAATCAATCAAGAAGTAGACTTATTTCATCTCAGTTTTATACCCAATATGGTATATTGTTGTTGAGCTTCTTCAGAGTGCATTCAAAAAGCACATAGCCAAACGATATGAGACCTTTCACCCTTGCTGTGGTTTCATACTCTGGCCTATGTTTTCTTTGGTGTTTCTCTTGGCACTTGTAAAAACCTTGCATCTAATCATGATGAAGAGTGTCATCTGAGAATGTATTAAATAGAAACATTGCATTCTCTCATGACTAAGAGAACTATGTGGAAATGTATTGCCAACTGATTTTGCATAGCTTGAAGTAACTACTTTGATCCCATCTTTACTCACTAGCCACCCATATTTGCCATACACTGTTTTCGGATTGAATTGATACTATTGTGGAGAACAGAGAAAACACAAACTTTCCAGACTATATTCTAGATGTCAAGCCTGCTGCTCCACATGGTTGTTGGATGGTTTTATTAATACTTAACTTAACTTCCATCCACAATTTGTCCTGCCTGTACTTGATGGAAGCGTTCCTGGAGGGAGAGGGGTTCCAATTCAATCCGTAAACAATGTAGTATTCTAGTACTGCTCTTGAATACTCCTTGTTGCCCGACTGCAGAGTTTTTCCACCAATTTAAAGCCAGTACTTTTTTGGCATTTTGACATGCTAAGATTAGGAACTTGCACCACCAATCAAAAAAGAGCCAGCAAAAGTATAAATATTATGCTTGTTCATTTTCAATGTTTTTTTTTTTTTTTTTAGGATTATTAAGTTTGCAAAAGTTGCCATTTTCATATCAACGGAAATCCATCTCGCCCCACGTGCTGCTTCCATCCCAGCCTATGATATTATGGAACTAGGCCTATGTGTGCATTCTGTCACTAAGAGTGATGTTTCTTGCCAATTAGAAATACGTGATACTGTCTTTAAATGTTTCTGCAGGCTTCAAATGCAATAAGATAGCAAATCTTTTACACATTTGGCTTGGTGCAAGGCCCTCTATAGTGGCTATGCACATGAAGCCATTTTTTGTGTGCTGTGGAAGTGACTGCTGTGAAGGACTAATTTCACTCATTCTCTTTTGAGCTCTTACTGCACAAGTTAGAGTTCGTACTCTTCTCTCACCTAGTTTTTGTTCTTTATGACTGTACTCCTGACTCGATGCTTGCAGGGAGCCTGAACAATGTCTCAACCAAGTCTTGTTTAGAATGTGTGAAATGTATGCTACATTTCTCACATTTCCATGAAAGATTGCTCTGATGCCAAAGAGAAGGCTGGTAGTCAGGATTGGGTCAAGACTAAAATTAAAATTGCATCATTTCTGGTTGGAGACTAAGGCTCAAAGAGAGAGTGAAATTCTTCTGCTAAACTTATGCTGAATTATTCAAGTCACAGATGAAAGAGGTTCTCATGAAGATTTGATCTAAGGGCATTCTCTATAGCTTAATTACATGTACCAAAGAGAAGGAAGATTTTTAAAGTGGCAGGATCATAGATGAAGGCATTGCTCCTCAAATCTTTCTTGCAAATTGTAAGTGTTCAAGAACAACTGAATACTAGTTTCAATGATGGTTCACCCATAGATTATTTACTATTCTATTCCAGGACCTCTTGGTAAGGGAATGTCTTTGAAAAATAATACTAATGGTAGATTGCTTATTGCTTATCACAACATATACAAAAGGATTGCACATATCACAATAAAACTTGGTGCATTGTGACAAAAAACTTGGGAGTCAAAGGGCTAATTGGACTTTGTACAGGTTGAAGCAAGTAGTTGTGAGGGCAGCTGGCTCTCGGGTGTAAGCAAGAACCTGTTTGCAGGATCAATTGATTCATCTTAAGTTTAATAGTTTCAGTTTTCCAGTTAAGCGGTCACTGTCATATGTGAATCAGTGGTTAATTGATCTATAGGTGGGCTAAAACATATCTCACTGGCAACTGAAGAATAGAGTGGTGTTTGTGAAATTGTATGTGGAGTCAAGCATAGCATTGATTCTAGGAGTGAATTATCTGCCAATTAGCTAGAATGAGAGGGCATATCTCTTTCCAATTCGTGCTTTGTCATGTTACATCCTGTAGAAAAATTGAGACTGAAACTCATGCTCTATTGATTCTTCTCTTCATGCATTTGCAATCATATGTATGAGGGAGTGTCACCATTTAAGAGCAATGAAGGAGCTTCAAGGACCTAGTAAATGGGGGAAGGAGAGAAACCACTGGAAGCCATTTTTGTGTGCCTTCAGCACTAAAGTTTGGGGGGGTTTGAAGTTCACATGACCTGTCTTTCAACGTCTCTGAATGCAAGAGAGTATCAAATCATCAAGAGATATATACTATTAAAAAAACGCGAAACGACACAAACAAAGAAAAGGAAACGAAGAAAAATGTTATGAAATGGTGGAAACTGTATTTGAACACTAAATGATGAAAGTACATTTGATATCTGAAAAGCTTAAAATGAACTAAATTAATTTCAGGATTCAGCCCAAATATCCTGTGCAGATGTCCAACTGGAAATTCATTAACCTGTACAATTCATGCCTTTTATTTGAATTGTCGTCCTTCCATTTTCAGAAAAAAATTCAGTAGCATCACATGTGACAGACATTTCCTTGACAGTTTCACTTTACTAAAATGAGTCGCTACATGTAACTGGTGTGACTTTCACCTTTCATCTCCAATCTTTGTGCCTTTCCGATGCCTTTTTTTTTTCTTTACAGACTTTGTGACACTGATGATTTCTTTCTGGCATCACTGTAAGTCATGGCACTTCTAATGCTAGTAATTGGGATTTTATTACTTGATTCTACCTTTGGAAATGGTTTTTTTGCTCCAAAATAACAAACATCAAGGGAAAGGGTTTGTTGCCCTTTTGATATAATTGTGGGGGAGGGTAAGGTATCGAATGATGTATGGGAAGAGGGATCAATGAAATGCAATCTTATCCTTATGCAATTCTGCAATGTATCCCCATGTGGAGGGAGTCCATCCTTATTCACATTTTATTGCTACAAAAAATGGTAGTTCTGAATGTACTTGTGCTGTCAACATGGAGCCTGGAATTTGTAGAGCTTCTGCATTTTTTCTCCCTATGCACATCTCCATCAGAGATATCATTCTTTTCTTCTGTGAGATACACTACTTGTAGACTTCCCAAAGGTATAGGTCTATTTCAGTATTATCAGTTTTCCATTATGCCTACTTAAGGTGAATTTCATTGCAGATCACTGGTCCAAACTATGGCCGTCCACTAGTCTTGGTGGGCTAAAAAATGAGACTATTTAAAGTGGGAAATACGGGTGTTTCAAGTGGTGAAGGGGACAGCAAACAATCTGGCAGTGGACCTGCCATTGAAGCTTTGGGACATGCATTGGAAGGTCTTGCTGTCAGCAATAAGCAGGAACCACCATTTGCTGCTAAAAGGGCATTTGATGATGAAAGAAACATCTGGATAGCAAAAGGTCCTGATCGAATTACAGTTCCGAAGTGTGGTGTGCAAGGATGTCATCCATACTTGGTTCCTTCATGCCTATCTACCCAGTCGCAGAGTTATCCAGCATGCAATTACAGACCAAACATTCTCTTCCCAGAAAAAAAGGTAAACTTCTCATCTCATGAAGTTGAGGATAAATAAGCAAGTGAAATTTCTTGAATCTTTTCACCTTTTGTGGAAGTCAATGGAAGGTTTCTTTTTGTTTTGTGCAGGTGAATATCAGCAACACTTCAGTTTTCTCAACATCAATATCCTATTGCCAAACTTCACCTTTCATGGGATATCCTGAGACTCCTCCACCTTTTGAGAATGATTTGATGAGCCCAAAGTCCCAAGAATCTTTTCACTGCTCCATCTCACGATCTGCAGTTGAGACCCCTTCTCCATCAACATCCTCTGGCACTGGCCTTTCCGAGTCTCCAGATGACAGCGACTTTGAACGGCTTCTTGATGCAACATTCCATCTGATCCCACCGGAACTGGTTTCCAAAATTGTCCCCGATGAATTGTCCCCTTCTCAATCGGACAGTGAGGCTGACTCCTCGCAACCATGGGCACAGTTGCCAAATAAGTCATATGCCATGCCCACAAATAATATACCGGTCTCTGGAGTGTCTTTGAGTGATACCACTCCATGTGCATCTTCTCCAACAAATCTATATTCCTCACCAAGCACATCATACTCTCATGAGGCAATCAAGCCGCAAGTATATGAGTCAAATGGACATCCTCCGTTGCAGTACTGCTCAAGTAGGCCTACCAGTACTTGTGACTCACATCTAACACAGGAGCAGCAGAAGCCACTGCAATTCATTTATCCTAAAGTTCCTCCCCCACAACAGTCACCAGTCATTGTGTGCTACAATGTCATCAACATTGTGGGATCTACTCAAGTTGGTCAAGGACAGCCACCCCCTATTCCCATGCAATCTCAATGTCAGGACAAAAAATTCAATCCTATACTCCCTAAGCCCCCAAATTTACCCCAGTTTGAGAAAGTTCAGACCAATATCTCTCCCTATCCATTTGAAATGAGCGAAGAGAAGTTGAAAACTTCATGGAAGCATGTTCAAATGATGAATGATGAGGACCTGTATGGAATTGGAGAGCAAGGCATGAAGTGAGTGTTTCCCTTCTTTTACTTCTGTATTTATGATTGATAACTAAATTGGCCTATCAAGGACACTTCAGGATATCCTGGAAACTTTTGTTTTCATTTTTAGGAGACATCAGATTTTCTAAGTGTGTTTTTCAGTTTTTGTAGCTGCTAACCTGTACTTGTGTTCTTCATCATTGGTTGAGTGAAGGTCCCACTCAAAGTCCCTCCTACAAAGCTAGATGTTAAAAAAAAAACTGATGGGTCACTGGTCTACTCATTCTATGTGCCATTAATTTTGCTGAAAGTTTTCCTCTTTTTGCTCATCATATGTACTGCTAACAAGTCTTTCTGAGGCTGGAGTGGAATTCTGTTTCACTGCATTTTAGAATTATGAAAAATGATTAGCATTATTTCCTTCTGTCTTTTTTACTTGGCAGTGCCTTAGCTAGGTGTATTGTCAGTGCCAGCCACAAGTCCCAAAAGGAATACATTTATGCAATGGTTGAGAGAGCTAAGAAGCAGGGAAGAGCAGAGGAAATGCTGAATATTAAAATTCCATTGAAGAAAGTGAGTCATTCTCATTCATATCCAGTTTGTTTCTCATAAGGTAATACCAGTGTGCTTTCATTTCTTTCATCAATTTCTTCTATGTTATTATTAGTTTTTCCAAGGCTTATGAAGTTTTACCAAAAGTATTAGCTTTTTAAGTAATTGTGATTCTTATTCATGGAAATTCTTAAGTCATTACTGTTAGTTGTGTTTTAGTTTTAATTTAATTTGCACTCATGATCATTGCAATAGATAATGAGTATCTTGTAGAAATAAGTTGCAGAATTATTACCTTTGCTGTAAATTTTGACTACATTTGACCTTGAAAAATTATATCTGACTCTGGTGATATTTTTTGTGTTTGTTCCAGCTTGTGGAAACCACACTGTCTTGCAATGATTTTCTTTGACATTCATGTACATTCTAAATCGATATTGGTATCCCTCCAGGACTCTATTGTGACGCCTCTCTCCCTGGCTGCCCTGCAACTCCCAAGCAGCAAAAGGAATGAGCAAGTGATTGAGTACTTGCTCAAATCAGGAGCTGATCCGGGTATTTCATTGAAAACCAAGGGCAGTTCCTTACTTCATATCCTTGCTGAGAATGTTGAGCGACACAAGCTGTTGCTCAAAATACTTCAGTGGACCAGCAAGTCCTGTCTTCTAGATAGAAATGAACGAGGTTTGTCCATTCCCCTTATTGAATTATGTATTTGATTGAACCTGTGTTGCATCTATGTGGGTTGAATCATATGAGATCAAATTTTAAGTGCTTTGATTGTGCTATGTTGGGATCTTTGATTATCTCAGTTATTCTTGCATTTATTCTGTTATTCTTACATCATTTATTCTTACAATTGATGTTGATGTACCTTTAGTTTTTTTCTGGTTGTTTCTTCTCCCACAGGTTACTGCTAAATATATATATCTTGTAGAGAGACTTAGTCATGCTATGATAAGGAAAAGAAATGTAGACACTCCTATGTCCTTTGGATGAGAATTTTAGGAAATCTGTTTCCCAGAGGTTGGGAGTGAGATTTCTTTCCTCAAAGTCTCAGCTCTCCTCTTACAGGCTTTGATATTGAATTGTTCCTTTCGATGGAAGGCTGGAAAATTTTTCATTGAAAACAGTGACATAGCCAGGAATTAATTTCGGGGGGTGTCTTGTGAGGTTCTTTCGGTCTCATGAGATGACGAAGTGGCCGAAGAAGGTTGGGAGGAATGAGGAAAACTTCGAAAGCCTTTTTGAGACCTCAACCCTACCCACCTCATAGTTGAAAATAGCCCCCTTCTCTTTCCAAAATTTCGGTTTTTTTTTGCATGAAGAGATATGGCTCAAGGACTGACCTTGAATTACTTATAATGTATTAGGTGAAAGCTACTCCTGAATCATGGTTTGCTACTGGAACTAAAAATCTTGTAGAGCAATGAAAGCAAAATGTTGGGGGGGGGGCACTGTATTGGTTAAGAGTGATTGTATTCAGAAGGTGGAATATGAGTGCAAGTCGAAACTTCAGTCGTATATGTGAAACTTTTCACACCCCC